ATGTATGTATGTTGCTATGTACATATATATATATATATATATATATATCGTTTTGATAAGCTCGTTAGATGTTTAGCTTTTTCAGTTTGTATCCTCAATCACAACGCATATGTTATACAATCATCCTTCAGGCTGCATAAGCACTAATCACTACCATATTCATTAACTGTGCGTGCTGTAGGTAAACGTAATATCAATACAGAAGGCCCCAACACCGACGCCGATACCAGAACATTAACAGACACACAAGCACACGTGAACAAGCGCAGGAAATTAGAGAACGGGCACACAGCCACAGACACCAACGTAGTTGTGGTCAGTCCCACACCCACGAACTCAGCCATTGGCAGTGCCAATGCCTCGCCCGCTGGAGATAGGGACGATGGCGCTGAAACGACAGGTGAGAAAATAACGTCCGCTGGTGAGGTAGCGGCGTCTGCGGGGAGTAAGTGGGAGGACGATGAGTCCGATGGGGATACGACGAAAAGCACAGCAGTTACTCAGGTGGCCGCGAGTGCTGTGGAGGTAGGTAAGACCGGGGAGGTTGCGGTCACGGTTGTCATGGAAACGACCGAGACCACCGAGGCGGCGGAGGTGCCGTCACGGCCGAAATGGGCCGACAGCGGCGACGAGGACAATGGCGGAAACCCAGAAACGGTAATTGCGAGCAAGCGGTTATTGTGTTTTAAGGTTTTGGGGTTGTTGGGTTTTGCTAAATGTGGGGGGTTGTGGGTGTACTATTGCTTGGCGTGTCTGGTTGCGTTGAGCGTGTTCTTTGTATGATGCATGCATAGCTTGAGTGCGAGGGGTCGTGACTGTGGTGTGTGGTGGTGCAGACTATCTGGGCGATATAAGTGTGGGAATAGCTGTCTGTCTCAGTGCAACTGACAGGTACTTTTAGGATGTGAATACATTGGTTTGCATACATAGTCTACTGTGGGATTGTCCCCACGCATCTCCATACTCGCAGTGCCATGACAATACAATTGATATATGTATATATATATATATGTGTGTGTGTGTGTGTGTGTGTGTATGTATGTATGTATGTGTATACATATATATATATATATATGTACTCACGTTTATCCATATTACCTTGTATCGGTGCTTTACTATCATATGTGATTTCAGCAGATCTCAGATTTTAAAATGGCGGGAGAACCAGCCAATCAAATGGAAGAATCGTCGCGTAGCAAATGGGAAGACGACACCGACATTCCGGGTATGTTACCAAAATAGAGTACGGCCAAATATGGTATTCTACCCATTTTAGTAATTCTCTGCAGTGTATCATGATACTATATATGAAACCCCACCCACTTTCCTACGCCAGGTGTTGTGTCGAAAATGTTACCGTACATACAATCCCACCCGCATTGGCGCGTGTCAGATTACTGATTACTGTGAGTTGCTTTCTATGTGGTTGTATTGCTTATGGACATCTCCGCATGTCTCGCTAATGACGTCCTATCTATCACTGACAAGCACCACCCTCGTATAATATCATGTCTCTAGCATCCACCGCGTGTGTGTCACAACCACATCGCATGCTTACCTACACGCAAGCACGCACGCCTGAAAGTGTTTATGTATGCAAACAAACAACCCCCTTAAGGGGCATGAAGCTGACGATTTGCCGATACTGTGCTGTGCTCACATGTAGTGTTGTGGCATTGTGAATGGGCTGTAAAGGTGAGATTGTGTGTTTGTTAATTCTCGTTATGCAACCTTTTGCTAAACTTTTGCTCAACTTCCGCTGGCCTCGATGAAGTGTTCGGTGCAGGAATCTAGTGGTTGGACCTTCTGGTGATATATATTTATGTATCTATTCATT